GGGCGACCCGCCGCGCCGCACCCGCTGGGACATGGCCGGCTCCCGGGTGACAGGGCGAGACTGGGGCTAGCTGTCGCCCGACCGCGGGGGAGCGTCCTCGGGCCGCAGAGAGACCCGGCGACGGGGCGACGAAACCGGACTCGCGGGCGCGGAGGAGCGGGCCTCGGCCTCAAAGCGCGGCGCTGCATCCACCGCCGCCGCCGCTCTCATCAACAATAGTGTCCCCGCGCGGCCCCGCCCCCCGCACGCCCATTGGCACGCGTCACCGCGCTCCAGCCGCGCCGCCGCGCCCATTGGCTCCCAGCCCCGCCGGTCCCGCCCCCGGGCCTAGAGAGCCTAGGTGTGCGGAGCCTGTCCGCTCTTTAAAGGGAGAGCCCCGCCCCCGGGGAGCGGTGCGCGTGAGTGCGTGTGTGTGCGTGTGTGTGTGTGTGTGTGTGTGTGTGTGTGTGTGCTGCGCGCGGTGTGTGTACACGTGAGCACGCGCGAGTACGCGCCTGGCCACGCGTGGCGCTCCTTCCCCGCCCCGGATCCCGGGCCCTGGAGCCTTGCCAGCGCCCTGTCCAGAACCAGCGTGGTCCCAGGCTGGGCCGAACCAACTGCAGAAGCGTGGACGCCGTCCCCTTCGGGCTCTTTCTATTCATCTTTTTGTTCTGTTCTAATTCCATCTACCTGTGGGCAGGGCTCAAAAGGAGAATTTAATTACTCTTACTGATATTTACACCCTTCTTTTGTTTTGTTTTGTTTTTTAAAGCTGTACAGAGAGCCAAACCTTGGGTTAAAATTGCTGCTTGAAATGCCCTTTTATATAGTCTCTATCGAGTTCTGTCACCAGATGCTCTCGCTACTCTCCTGTATCTCAGGTAATCAGGAGTTTATTTTGATCAGCTGCTTCACGGGGCCCTGGTACCGTACTTGGAAATATGTCTGATACCTTACAAGTTTGTAAAGTGCTATACTTAGTGGGCTTTATTTGAAGTTCACACATCTGGGCTGACCAAACATATTTTAGTCTAGTGGAGGAAATAGGACTTCGTGGTGTGGGTGAGGACTGAGGCCAGCCGGCCGTGACACTAACTTTAAAATGACCTAAGGGACACCTCGTCAAGACAAAAAAAAAATGTAGACCACCACCCTATGTATGCATGGCCCTGACCTTTTTTCACCTTCACTCCTACACCAGATGTACATTCTAGACAGATCTAGTCTTGTAGAAATGTGGCAGTACTGGCCACAGTATGACGGGTCCCGGGGTCCCTGTGCGCTTTGTGGTGGAAGCCTTTGAAGACTAGAGAGTAGAAAGTAACCAAGGGCTCACAGAGAACGTGGTGCGTGGAGGTGCTCAAGGCCTATAGAGACCCCATGTAACTCAGAGGCCCGCCCTCTGCCCCGGCAGAGGCAGGAACTGGCCCTATGTTGGTTGGTGCCAACGTTGGTGGGTGGCCTGGCATTACTACACGTCCCTACAACTTGGGGTGAGGACAACACAGGAAACAGCCAACCAGATCCATACTGAGGCATGAGTCTGCTCTTAAAACAGGGAGAAAGAGTGTCCCAGAAGGGCGTTTGAAAGCCATGTGCAGCTGTTCATCATGTACAAAGTGGGAGCTCAATACGTATTTACCAAGTTAGCCCAAAGGGAGTCGAGCAGCCCTAGTATCCTAGGATTTCTCCTTGGCTGTTTTGGATATCACCAAATTAGAGGCAAGAGGCTTTAACCTTTTCTATCCCACGTGTACCCTAAATCTTGTTCACATGGAATTTATCATCTCCTAACCACTTACCCACCACCAGTGGCTCCTCTTGCAGTTTTTGTTTATCTCAGTAAATGTTACCACCATTTTTCAAGTAGTATAAATCAAAATCCTATCTTAATTATTCTACTTCCTAAACCTCGCAGGATCTCCAGGATCACCATGCCTTCTGGCCAAGCCTCTGTCTTCTCTGGCCTGTACTCTGACCCGCACTGAGCCAGTCTCCCTAGATCATCTCTGCCCCATCCCACTTTTCCAAGCTTCCCATTCTCCACCCATAATCCATTGGAATCCGAGCAACTTGGAAGCTGAGCCAGGAGCATCCCAAGTTCAAGGCCAACCTGGACAACTTGGTGGGACCCTGTTTCAAAAAATTAAAAGGAATGCATGTAGCTCAGTGATTGAAAATCCATAGGTTCAATCCCTAATACTTAAACACACACACACACACACACACACACATACACACACACTCACACGGGGCTGGTGTTGTAGTTCAGTGGCATAGACCTTGTTGAGCATGTGTAAGGCTGAAGATTCAATCCCAGCACTGCCAAATAAATGCAAACACCTCCACTGCCTGAAGCTCCCCATTTCTCTTAGGATTAGGCTTCTTCAATGCCAAGGCTCACCATACCTCCAGAGGCCCCCTCCGCCTACTTCTTCTTTCCTGGGCTTCAGCCATCCTGCTGTTCTTTAACTTCCCCCAAATAACCCATACACTCATCCTGACTCTTGTCAGCTCCAGGTCAGTTTTTAGGTTGGAGAGGCCTGGGTTGTCTTGATCTGCACTTAAATTAGTATCCCTGGGTTTACAGTAGCACTGTACTTTCCTGTCCTAGTCATCACATCACACAATTATTTGTTCAGTATCTATAGTTGTCAATTTTAAGTGTGGTTGTTCACTCAATAAATATTCCTGACAGCCTTTTATGTTCAGGGCACTGCTATGGCTCCACAGTGATGAATAAACCCTCCCACTCCTTATCTATCTCCTGCACTTATCTCTCTCTGCTGGAGACAAAAGAGCGAGTAAACAAAATATGTGCATGCACACACACATGCAAGAGAATCACCTGCTGAAGAGTTCTTTGGAGAAAACCACAGAGTGCCATGAAAGAGAACGAAGATCTAACCAAGCTGTTGGGAAGGCCTTTCTAAAGAGGAGACAGGGTGAGACCTAAAAGAATGGGCCATTGGGAAAAACATTCCAACAAATAGCTGTGTTAGAGCCCAAGGAGGAAGAGTGTCAGTACTTTAAGGAATCAGACTAGGGCCAGGGTGAGCAACAGGAAGAGTAGTTGAGAGCTAGGTCTGCAAAGGTAGAGGTGACCTGATACAGAGAACAATGGATTCAGATTTTATTCTGAGTACATGGTTTATTTGCACAAAACTGATTCTATTAAGTGTCTCGTTCAAAAGAAACAACAGACACCAAAAATAGAAATGAGAAACAAGCAAATATTTCCTGAAATTTATGGAATAAGCGTGAAGGGGAATTTCTTTGCATGAGTCTCAATAAACATAGTATTTAAAATCTAAATCTGTGTCTCCAAGTTCTGCTTATTACAAGACTCCCATCTGTCTTCTTTATAAACACCCACCCCGAAGTACCTAAGCCAGACCTGGGCCTAGCCTGGCTTTTCTGTCTTTGGCTTCATTTTCTTACCTCCTAGGGTCCATTCTTGCTCCTTGAATGACTCTGTGCCTTTGCTAAGACAGTGCGTGTCCATCTGTCCTTTCTGGTCTCTCCATTTCTACATCTCTGCCAATTAATAATCCCTGGAGATCAGCACAACAGAAATGCCAGAGCTCACAGGTGGAATTTCTATGCCGAACAGAAACACCAAAACATCACTCAGGATTTGGAGGCAGATTTATTTACATCAATGGGCACTGACCTCAAGAGAAAAATGTCAGGGCCTAGGGCTTATATGGAGTTTGCAAGCAAGAAGTATACAGAAGCAGAGTACTTGGTTGTCTTTGGTTCTTACAGTACGCATTATAGTGACCAGCTGTGCATCACAGTGACCACCTGCTTCTAAGAAACAGAAGCAACAGGAACTGTAACAGGAACTGTTACCTGGGCAACTAACCTGGGCATTTTCTGCTACAGAATCATCCCATGAAGGTTTGGGGATGAGAGAAGTGGCTGTGCCTCAGTCTTGTATGTTTGGTTTGTGTTTGTCACCGCTCGTGTTGCAATGCATTTTGGGTACTGTCTGGGACTGGCTTGTCAGGGAACAAGCAGGAGCAAAGAAAATGTGAGGAGCTCATCACAAAGAAGTCTGCGCAGGGGGCATTGCCGAGAGAAAAAGCGGATAGATTCAAGATTTGCCTTCTGGGTGGGACTTGCAGAGACAGCGTGCAGGTGACAGAGGGGAGGATAATAAACCTGACAAGTCGCAGGTTTCTTGTTTGAATACCTGAGTGGTCGGTCTGTAGAGAGGAGCATGGATGAAGGAGGAAAAGGCTTGGTATCAAAATCAGTTTATTTGGACATGCTAAATATGAGGGGTTGTGTACAAATTATTTAAAGGAAGTCATGAAAAAGATAAATGAATATATAACACTCAAAAATTCAGAGAGATGGGATGGGGGGTGTCGGTCCAGGGCTTTTAGCATGTGGATGTTACTTGTAGCTGTGCGAGCAAACGTGACCACGTAGGGGTTTTATCACTATTCTTGCTGCAGCACAGTGCCCAACCACAGACTAAATGCTCAAAACTTTACAACCTGAGCTGCTGTGTGTCTTGTTCATCCTGTATCCTCACGCCTAGCACAGTCTGGCACATGTGGCAGGTACTCCATAACTTCTTGCAAATCTCGTGAATGATTTAGCAAACACCTTGTTAGGTTTATATCTGGATGTCCCCTAAAGCCTCACATGCACACAGGTGGCGTTTTCAGAAGGTCATGGCATTATGGGGGTGGCTATAGCCTATTTCTGCCAGGAGTGGGGTCTGGCCAGGAGAGGCAGGTCGTGCTCTCTCTGCTGTCATATGCCGTGGGTCACTGGCCATGAGGTGAGCAGCTCTCCTCCACCAGGCCCCTCTGCCATGCCCTCCTGCCTTGCAGCCTGCTGATGGTGAACTGAAATATGACTAAAAATGAACCTGTCCTCTCAGTTGTGGGTGTTGGGTATTTTATCCCAGTGACACCTACCATTCATAGCAGCAAAAACACACTTGACTTTGACCGATGTGATGGCACATCCTGTAATCCCAACTACCCAGAAGACCAAAGCAGCAGGATCACAAGTTCAAGGCCAGACTGAGCAACTTAGAGAGACCTTATCTCAAAATAAAATTAAAAAGGGGCTGGGGATGTAGCTTGGTGGCACAGCAAGTGCCTTGCATGTGAGGGGGAGGCCCTGGTTCAATCCACAGTACAAAACAAAAAAACAAATAAAACACTCTGAACTCAATTTGCTTTTACCATAAGATAATACTCTAGCTCAGCAGATCATCTTTTAAAAAAAGAACAAAGAAAGACAAGCTAGTCATGGTGGTACACATCTGTAATCCC